CCTTACACCCTCGTGTGCCTTCGTCCNCCACGACTATATATATATATATGTGACTTGATATACAAATTGTATTGATAATAATAATAATAACAATAATAATAATAATAATAATAACAACAATAACAATAACGATAACAATAACAATAACAATAACAATAACAATAATGATAATGATAATAACAACAACAACAAATTAATTGTTAAATAATTCATCTCTTATAGGTTTTTTAATAAATTTATTTAATGAATAAATAAATAATAATAATTTGTTAACAATAATTAAGATATTAATTAATCATTTTTCAAGTTCAAAAGATATTGATGCAATTGTAAAATAGGTCATAATATTAAAGGACATGAAAGTTTAAATTTATAGAGTGGGGTCCATAGAGGTAGCATTGGTTTTGGGCAAAGAGAAGAGAAAGGGAATGGAGTTGACTAGTGTATGGCATTGTGTAAGATCAAAATTGTAAAAAGAACAAATAAAAACATAAGTGGGGGGCTAATGGTTCCAAAGTTTTAAACTTGAGAAGGTACGAGGGATTTTGGCAAAGCCAAGAGGCCAATAGGGATGGAAATTTCGAGGAGGGGAGTAGAGGTGATTTTTCCCTAATTTCTAATCTAATTTTATCATAGAGCACATATACTATGCTCTCGTTGGAGCATATTGTACACTTCTCACTATAGTGAAAGACTTAGGTGGAGCTTTTCAATCTAAAATTTGGGGATCAACCTAACAATTATTGGATGATCATTTTAGAAAATAAATAGATATTTGGTTCTTCAATATTTTGATCTCACCATCTAAAATTTGGACGGTCTTGGTAAACTTTAGGACATTATTTCTCAGACACAAGAGTATGATTTTTTATTATTATTATTATTTTTTTCTCTTTGAAGTTAGTCCCTAAGTAGAAACAATACATATCCTAGGGTCCTAAAAAAGCTCTTAGATTGGGTGATTCGGATTGGGCACCCCAAAACCGGTCCGGATCACCTTTTTACTGCATGGAAAAAATAGTTAATCGGCGAAAAAACGATGAACCGGCCAAAAACCAGTCCGGGTCAATGAATCAGTGATCCGGATAGCCGTTTTACTGTGCGGAAGCGCCAGTTCCCTTCTAGACTCGGTCGTTTTCTTATATATACGCAAAACCGGAACAAGATGACCGATTCTCGGGTCGGACCGAACGATTCTGTGCCGACATTGAGTTTTTTAAAATCACTAATCCCACATATATAAAGCAAATCTCAAAATTAATTTCTCAAAAAATCAATTTAAAATTAATTTCTCAAAAATCAATTTATAAATTATTTTAAAAAAGAAAAGCCAAAAGAGTGGCTGATGCTTCGGCTTCTAGGCTCATGAAATGACTTGCTTTTGGATGGATAATATTAAGGGTGTGGTTTCTATATAGTTGCAACTTTAAACAATCCATTTAAGACGTACCTCCAAATTTTATCATAATATGTAATTTTGGTGTAAATTTTTTTTGGATTATCCGAAAATCTATTTTCATAGTTAATTATAAAATTCTAAACTCTAAAAATGACTAAAATCAAGTAGATCTATAAATATATAAAAATCTTGAAAATGAATGGTCTAGATAATATGTTGCGAGATGCACTATTTATGGGACTCAAAAATCTTTTTTTTTTTTCTATCATATTCCTACATTTCGTTATAGAGATGATCAATTCGAGGGTTTTTCAATTTTAAAACAACATTTTCTTATGGATTTTTGATGTGCATCTGTAATTTTATATTTTAAGGTTGCAACCTTATATAAATGTTTTTCTTGTATTAATTCTAGACCTTTTGTTTCTACTATGATTATCTTTTTATAATATGATTAGCATTGCCTTAATTGTTAATATGGAAAGTAATATTCCTTTACATTTAAGTACTAGCCATGAAATTGTTTGGGTTATTTAATTGCAACTTGCATGCAAAAGATTCCGGCGTGGGCCCCGTTTTTTAAGGCAAAGAAGAGGAGTCTATGGCTGGTCCAGTTGTTAATTTAAAACCTTGTTTCTATTGCATTTATTTAGTTTACTTGTGAAATAAAATATTTATTGAAATTTTTTTTATGGTAAAGTAGAGTTGACTGTGTGTTGTGCAGGCTGGATGGCAGCAAGTGGTTTTCTAGGTGAGTGGAGAGACTTTCTAAAAGTGTGGAAAATAAATGGGTCATCTTATCTCCAAAAATTACAAAAGTAACCCTGTAAAACTATTCTCTTTTTTTTTTCTTTTTTTTTAAGGTTTGTATTTAAACAATAAAAAAAAAAAAATTTTTTGAAACCTTGTGGATATGTAAAATTTTGGTGCTAAAAATCTTTATTGGCTTGAATCTATTTTCAATCCTATCTATCAAATTCAAAGCATAAAAAAGAATGATACAGATGAAGTAGATCTTCAGATATTTGAGATCTTGAATATTGATGGTCCATTTAATATTTTTTATAAGATGCGCTATTTTTAAAAATGTCATTAAAACTACAAATAAAAAAGGGGCTAAAGTAATATGTAAAAGTCTTCTCGTTGCATTCTTTTATAAGGACCTTGTTCTTGTCAGTTTTTTTTTAGAGTTATCATCAAAATTAAGCTTAACAATGCATTTCATCCGAGAAATATGACCTCTTTGTTTGTCCTGCCTCACTTTGAGACACACTTACAGGCAATTTTTCTAAAATCCACATATTACCAACCAAGCTTCTCCCATTTAAACATTATTTTTTCCAATTTTTCCAAAATGCATATATTAACAACCAAACTTCTTCCATTTAAACTTTTATTTTTCCTTTCCAATAATTCAAAACTAAAAAAAAAAATCTTCACATCCACAAGCCCCGAATCTCAAATATGGATTAAAATGAAGGGCAACTTCTGCATTTTTTTATTTAATTTTTTTTTTTTTTCTATGTTTGATATGTTAATAGTAAGAATGTAAGTGTGACGTTATGTTAAAGCATCCACTCTACCAACCACCAATGCACCGATCCCATTCCCTAAAAAAAATAATAAATAAAATAAAATTAAAAACTAGAGTCATTTATTCACGGAAGAACAACAAATTCTAGTGGACAATGGTAATTTATTAAAAAAGCAAGGGCAAGTTGAGAGAGCTTTATATATTATTAAATAAATTTTAGTACTTTATGACTTTTGGATAATATGTTATGATTTTGAAGTGCAAGTTGGGCATTGGCTTTAAGGAAATGAGTAATGTTGGGTTTGGGGGGCCCTTTTAATAGTGGGTGCCACGACCATATAATTATTATTTATTATTACTTGGTAATTAGCAAATTAATTAGTGTATTATTTAATCAATTAATGTATTATTAAATATAATTGTCTTGTAGGAGCTGGAAACATCGGTAGTTTTCAGTTTAGGCCGTTCGATTCGAAAAGTCAATCAAAACCGTTAGATCTTTGACCCTTCTGTATGCCAAAGACAGAAAGAGAGACACTGTAGCACGTGGAGGCTCAATGTCCATGCGCTTATTAGCTAGATGACAATTGGCACATACAATACGTCTTGGTGCTTCTTACAGATTTTCATAACCTAAATATACATATATATTCGAAATAGAGAGAGAGAGAGAGGGAGGAGATGTGATCGTCTGTGCGAGAGTGAAAGCGAGAGATGTATGTGTGGGAACGGGCTTAAGGCATGGGTGGTCAAGGTGGCGGGATACCGCTAATAATACATAGATACAGACAATACAAGATCATTGATATACATACAAAAATAATATACATTATTGAAATTTGTCACCCACAGCGTGACATCGAGTATACAATCAAAAAATTAGATAAAGATAGAGATGTATGTATGTGTGAAAGAGACATAGAATTATATATTTGCAAGAGAGTGGTGTGTGTGAGAAAAAAATATGCTCGTGTATAAGAGAGATTGTGTGTGAAAGAGTGCATGTGCATGAGAGAGAGATTGTGTGTGAAAGAGATGCATGTGTATGAGAGAGAAAGATAGCCAAAGAGAGCATTGAAGCTTGAGAATAGGTTTTCAAAAGAGAGATCAAGTGCCATGACATGTGAATAGGTTTTCAAAAGAGAGATCAAGTACCATGACATGACGTCTAAAGCTTTATTTTCATCTTATCTCAAATTTATAATAAAAAAAAAAAGAGTGAGTGATAGTGTATTGGGGCTTTTTACTGGTAGACCAAATTTTATTTTAAAATTAAAAAGTCAAAAATAGTCAAAAGTTGGAGCTCCTTTTATCCCTCTCTATCTAGAGTCTAAGAAATCTCTCTCTCTAGGATCCTAGGAAGGTTCCAAGTGGAAGAGTCATTTGTGATGATAATGGAAGGTTCATTGGCTATTTTTTCAAAACCCATTGGAGAGTCAAAGATATTTCCTACTAATATACTTCTTTGGGCATAACTCTATATCCAAATTTGGAGGCCGTAAAATTTTGAAAACTCAAAAATGAAAATATTTAAGTATTTAAATTTATTTAAATATATTTTTAAAAATTGGTAACTATAAGACCTGAATTCAAACTCGGAACCAGGACCAAACTTGAATAACATCCGGGTCCAAGATTTGGAGCTGGACCCGACCTGTTGAGTGAAATTTTTGGACCCATACTCGGACCCGGTTCAATCCTCGCTGACGGGTCCCGTATCGGATCCGGGTCCATTTGCCATCTCTAAATCCCCATCCCATTTTGAAACAGTGCTTCGCACTCCAAGCACTGGGCATCACCCCTGCGGCCATGACACTCTCTCTGCACTATTCCCACACCATCCCAACTCTCTCTCTCCTCCAAACATGCACAACCATGGCCAATGTCCACCAACTCCACGCCCACATTATCAAAACCGGCTTAATCTATGACCAATTCATTGTCGGAAAACTCATCGAAGTCACTGTGTTTTCAAAATCCGGCGACCTTGGCTATGCCCATCGAATTTTAACCAAAATCTCAGAGCCGAACACTTTTTCTTTCAACACCTTGATCAGAGCCTATGCTCGTGCCTCCTCCCTCGAAAGAGCAACCCAGCTCTATACACAACTGCTATGCACTGGTCTCCCTTTGGTCAATAATTATACATATACATTCCTGTTATCGGGTTGTTCGGGCCCTTTTGGGCTTGATTTGGGCCTCCTGATCCATGGTCACGTCTTTAAGTGCGGTGCTTTTGCAGAGGATCTTTGTATAAACAATGCTTTGATCGCAATGTATGCGGTTTTCGGATACTTGGTTCACGCCCGAAAGGTGTTCAACAGAATGCCTCAAAGAGATTTGGTTTCATGGAATGCGCTTTTGAGTGGTTACGCGCGCAGCAGTCGGCCCAAAGAGGCGTTGAGAGCGTTCAGAGAGATGCAAAGAGAGAGAGAGATGCCAAACAGGGTTACTGTGACGACGATGCTCTCTGTATGCGCTCAACTGGGAGCGCTAGAATTGGGGAAGTGGTTGCATGTGTATGTCAATAGAGAGAGAATTCCAGTGGATTTGCCCCTAAATAATGCATTGGTAGACATGTATGCGAAGTGCGGATGCCTTGAGGGTGTGGAGCTTGTGTTCATAGAGATGGCGCATAGAGGCCAGGCTCCTGATGTCTACACATGGAGCTCGGCCCTATGGGGGCTGGCGTCTCTAGGGCGTGGAGCCGAGGCTCTAAGCATGTTTAGAGAGATGAGAATGAAAGGAGTGACACCGAACGAGGCTACATTACTCGCCATGCTTAGTGCTTGTAGCCACTCCGGGCTTGTGAGAGAGGGCCAACGCCTCTTTTATGCAATGAAGGAAGAGTATGGGATCGAGCCCTCGACCGAGCACTACGGTTGCATGGTTGACATGCTTGGAAGAGCTGGGTTTCTCTCTCTAGCCATGGATGTGATCAAGAGCATGCCAATTGAGCCTACAGCTCAAGTATGGGGGGCTCTTCTAGGTGCTTGTGGCAAACACAAGAACATAGAACTAGGGGAGTTAGCAATGGGTAACTTGAAGAAATTGGAGCCTTTGAATGGTGGGTATTATGTGATTCTGTCAAATGTTTATGCTTCTCATGGGATGTGGGATAAGGTGGAAAATTTGAGGAGAGAGATGAGGAAATTAGGGATTAGAAAGACACCTGGGTGTAGCTCAATTGAGGTGAATGGATTTGTACATGAGTTTGCTTGTGAGGAGTATGTGCATTCAAAGAAAGAGAGAGATTCATGAAGTTCTATGAGAAATGGATGAGAGAGAGGGTGAGCTCTCTCTTGTCAAATTCAATATTATGAGTAGTAAAATTTATATGAAATAATAGACAATGAGAGCATTCAACTTTGGTATAATATGGTCACAATTAATCTTGACTATTGGATGTGAAATTGGGTTATTGTATTTATTTCATTGATTAAATTTAAAGTTCAACAGAATTTTTTTCGAATTTTGTGACACACCTAGGCTATCAAATTTCAAATTGGATGGTTATAAATAATTGTGACCTCTTTGTATTAAAGGTAAATGATCTCATTGTATACAATCCCAATTTATATTTTTCTCTCTTATTTTTATAAATGATTATAATTGTTCAAATCAATGTGTGATTTCATATAAAGTGATCAAATTTTTTGATATCTATATTTATGTTCTAAAATGATTTTAGAAAAGAGTGGTACAATGTACTACTACATGAGTATACTATACATTTACTCCCCTGCACCAAAGACCGGAGGATTTTCTTGTTCTAAAATTTTGGATTCCACTTTGAAAACACCAAATGGGCATTTCAAAAAGAAAAAAAGAAAAAAATAAATATTTATTAAAAATTTTAGACTCTCTTGTTCAATTTACAACATCATTCTGAGTCCGATATCAAAGTTTTGTCTTACTTTTTTGAGATTGGTTGCTGGATCAAGGAGGTTACATTCCCAAAAATGAAGGCCCAAAAAATACTTCAAAGATAGGGTTTTTGCCTGTAGGGAGTGAATATTAGATATGCTCTCGAGAGAACATATAATCTTTTGGCTCGAGAAAATGAATTTCCCTCTAGCAAAAGCAAAAATATTGTAGTCTCCAGTGTAAAAGGGAGTGTATATTGTGTATCGGGTTAATATGGAAAGTATATATATATTATGTATCGGGTTAATATATAAAGTATATATTGCAATAAGTACATATGAGATGGATTGGTAGAGTATCTGTATTTTATGGTAAGTTTGGGTATGGTTAGATATCTATGATTTAGTTTCTATTATTATCATTGTAATTTATCTATAAAAGACAAGTCAGTACATTTATACGATCAATGGACATTGAATCTCTTCAGAGAAACCTGAGACATTTCAAATGGTAAGTTGGTATTGGAGCTATGTACTTTCTATATCAAAAAAAATAAAAAACTCTACAAGTTTGTTGTACGATCAAGTTTGTTGCCCGGTTACTCGATCATGTCTGTTCTGGTCTGCGAGCTGCTTAATCTGTCTCGGATTTACACTGAGTTATGTTGACTCTTCCAAGTGTCATTCTATTTTCTCGGCTGTCTCTACTGCTTTGTCTTCTCTGGTGAAGATCTGAAGTTTTTGTTTATTGTTGAACTTTTATTTGTCGTTCTATTCTTGCCTTACGTTTTTTAGGCCTGTTGATCCGCCCTTGCTCCATTACTAATTTATGTGCTTATTGATCAAGTAATCTAAGTATGCATTTGAAGATCAAACTGCTCATTTCCGCTACTTAATGTTCAAACTTTAGCTGCTATCTCTCATAGGATTTTGAGTTTGAGGGGGAGTATGAAAGGAAAATATATATTGTGTATCGGGTTAATATAGAAAGTATATATATTGTGTATCGGGTTAATATAGAAAGTTTATATATTGTGTATCGGGTTAATATAGAAAATATATATTGCAATCAATATATATGAGAAGGGTCGGTAGAGTATATGTACTTTATGGTAAGTTTGGGTATGGTTTAGGTATCTATGACTTAGTTTCTATTATTATCATTTATAATTTGTCTATAAAAGAAAATTATGTACATTCATTCTATCAATGGACGCTGTCTCTTCAGAGAAACATGAGACTTTTCACATTGCACATAAACATACTATCCATTTACTCTCCCAGGTAAATCCATGAGTACCAAAATTCTAAATGTATCCTCTTCAACCTAACAATTGCCTTCAAATTAAAACAGAAAAGAAGAATTTTTCACCAAAAAGAATGACGAGATCCAATTTTTTAGATGGTTAAATCTAATTGTTAAGAAACTCAAAATTCAAACTCCTTTATGGAAAATACTCACCCAATAATTCTAAAGCACATTCCATTATTGTTCTTTCTTTTTATTCCTTTTTTTAAAAAGAGTTTACAAAAGAACTATCCAATAGCTATTTTGTCAAAGAAGTACATGTACAATACATGCTCACATAAGAGTTCACTATATATGCTCCTAGCAAAATGACTAGGGCAATGCATAAACATAGTTGATTGTTAAAGCAAATTTATTAGGAAAAAAGGTGAATCCTACCCTTGCATAAAAAAAATCGAAATTGGTAACTTATATGGTGTAAAAAATAATTGATGATTCCTCTTAGATATCTTGACACTCAAAGAGATTGTAAATCAAAACAACTTAACATCGGTTGAACTTTGAGGAGGTTCTCAAAATTTTATATAACATGACTGTGTGTCTATCATTTTTTATACATGTCAAACACTAAAAATGGTACACTCGTATATGATGTTTTAGAAATTTCGACATTTTATTATATTTAATTATCGACGTAGAATTATATAATGTCACCTAAAATCTCATCACCAGTCTAATTCAAAAGACAAAATTTGGATTGCAATGACACGTATATCTCTCACAAAAAATGACACATGCATCTCTTTTATAATGTAGCCAAAATCTATTCATTTTCCTGTAATTTAATGCATTATTTTCCTTAATAATGATAATTATGAGAAAGTGCAAGCATGTAATAAAATGGTCAACATGGGGCATTTTGGTGAGTTTCAGTTAACGTTAACGGCCGGTCGATAAGGTCGGAGAGAGACCGTCAGCAACGGAGGTGGCATTTAGTGGGGGCCGTTTTGCCCACCCTAGCTTCCTCCGTCACGTCCATGTTTGTATCAGTTTCTCTCTCTTCTTTCTCTCTCTATCATATTTGTATCAGTTTTTCTCTCTTGACTCTATCTCTAACATATTTGCATTAGTTTCTCTCTCTTCTTAGACTCTCTCTCTATCAACGTCTTAGTTTCTCTCTCTTCTTACTCTCTCTATACCATGAGTTGTATAAGTTCTCTCTCTTCTTAGATGCACTCTCTCTGGCTTTATATACTTCCATTTTTATGAGCTGTGAAGGTTTTCTCTTCATTGGTGGTGTTTAGTAGTGTTTAGAGAGAGAAAGAGAGAATGGGCAAAGAAATGGAGTTAGAAGGGCTACAGAAGCACAGGAGTTTGTACATCCCTGAGCTACCCCCTTGCCTACAGGTTCTCTCTCTCTCTCTCTCTCTCTTCCCTCCCTGCATGCCTCTCTCTCTCTCATGCATGTATACAAGTGCTTGTTCCTTACATTAAATATTGCTGTATAATTTATACTTCAAGTTTTAAACGTGGTTGGTTCTCCGATGCATGGAAAATGCATTGCACTAAAAAGGGAAAAAAAGAAAGAAAAACTAAAAACCATGTTCATTTTAATGTACTTACGCAAGGGAAAGTATACATAACACCGTACCCTTTTAATATAGGGAGGTTCACAATCACTTTTCTCAATTAGATATCAAATTTGATGGTTGAGAGTGTATTATTGACTGGATTTCAAGTTCAAAAAAGAATTTTTCAAACTTTGTGAGATGCCAGAAATCATCCAATTTGACATCTAATGGCTAGTACTAATTGTGACCTCCTTTGACAAAAAATAAAGGGTTTCACAGTACACAATCTTATTATGTAAAGGGCAATTGTCTCAATTATAATGTCACATCTCTACACTATTTTATTTTTAATTTTTTTCTATAAAATATTTTCAACAAAAAAAATAACTAAAATACCCCTGAAAATGTCAAGGGGTATTTTGATCATTATATTTTATCAAAAAATTATTTTTAATATTTTTTATAGGTGCACCCCAATGAGAAGATGACACGTACCAAATTTCATATTCATACAATTTGTATAAAAAAAAATTAAAAATGAAATAATTTGAGATGTCAGATCTATGATCAAACGGTGAGTGGCTCTCTTGATCAAATTGGACGGTTGTATGGTTGGGGAGGATAGAATTTCTATGCTATAGGGGATAGAAACCTTTCCCTTATGTAAAAAAGTCTACAAAGAGATCATTTATCTTTGGGAAAAGTTTATATAAGGTTGCAACCTAAAAATGTAGAATCACATATACACCTAAAAAATCTATCGGAACTGTTGTTTTAATGCTGAAAAAACCATCTAATTGATCATCTCGACATCGAGACGTATGAATATGAAAAAAAAAAAAAAAATTGAGTCCCGAAATAGTGCATCTTGCAACACATTATCTAGACTGTTAATTTTCAAGATTTTCATATATTTGTAGATCTACTTGATTTTAACCATTTTTAAAATTTAAAATTTTCTAATTAGGTATGAAAGTAGATTTTAAGATAATACTAAGAATTTTTTACAAGAAAATTACATGTTATGATAAAATTTTAAGGTGCACCTTAATTAGAACCGCACCCTTTATCTTTTGTACGAGGTCGCAATCATTTCCACACATTAGATGTCAAATTGGATGGCTGGGCGATAACTCATGAAGTCCAAGAAATTTACTATGTCTATTCAATGACTCTTATTATCACCCATTTTAAAATTTAATGGACAAAAATTGATTGTGACCTTCATGTACAAAAATAAAGGAAAAAGTTTATATAAGATTCTTTGGAGTTTAAAATTTTATAATTAGATATGGAAATAGATTTTCAAATAATCTTAAGGATGTTTTACACCAAAATTATATATTATGATAAAATTTGGAGGTACACCTTAATTGGATTGTTTAATGTTGAAACCTTATAGAAACTACACGCAAAGATAGATGGTCTCTTTGTAAACAATCCCACAATATATTTACTACTTTAAATAGGATTAGGACAAAGGATTATTAGTATTATACCTTTGTTGAGGATCTTTTTTTAACTTATGACGTTCATATTTTAGTGCACAACTTTGAGAATGAGATATTTAACAAGTAAACCATAATTAGACATTTGAATCTACGTAAGGGATAAGTTTATATAAGTCAGAGGCTCTAAACAATCAAATTACGGTGCACCTCAAAAGTTTCATCAGAAGAGATTGTAATGATGCTCAAATATTCTCAAATTGATTATCTCGACCTAAGATGCATGGACTTGAAAAAAAAACATAGATTTTCAAGATTTGGAAATAGTGCATCTTGTAATGCATTTTTTACTGTCAATTTTCAAGTTTTTATATATCTACTCAATCTACACTATTTTTGAAGCTTTAAATTTTATAATTACAGATGAAGATATGTTTTAATGCTATCATAAAGATTTTCAGTATTGAAACCATATTTTTTGACACTATTTGAATGTGTGATTTACTTCATTGTTTAAAGCCTCGGCCTTATACAAACCGTACCCTATACCTAATAAGAAAACCATTATGATTATAATTATGCTTGTTGTATTACCATCATCATGATCATCATCATTATTACAGTCCCCATATTGCTTGTTGGAGAGGGATGAAAGTGGCGGCCATATGCCTGACAGTAACAAAAACTCCCGAATTAAAACATAATGTTAGTTAACATGCAAATCAATTGTCTCGACCTTGACAATCATGTTTTCAATAAAAAGAAAGTATTTTATAATGCCGTGATTTTTCAAAGCCATACATTGAAGCCCTTTTAACAATTTTGTTAAAACATATAACTCAATTATCTTGACTTCTACCAAAGTCTAAGTTTGAGTGCTAGAAGACATTCAAATCGAACAGGTTGACATCACTTACATGGAAATAAAGATAAAAATAGATTCCAAACTCGAAAAATAGTTTATCTTGTAACACATTTTCGGTACTATCAGTTTAAGTGCCACGTATTTACTCAATTTACCTCATATACCATAATTAGGGGTATAAATAGCTTGAGAAGCTAATGTTTTAGCACTGGTATTGCATTCTTCAAAAGAGTTTTGTAGTGTGGCTTATAAAACTATGACCCCACAAAAATTGCATCTTCTGTTAAAAGGAAATGTATTGTGAATCAGACTCCATAAAATTTGATCAATCTTTTTGTCTGTCATAAAAGCGGAAAAGCGGAAAACTGAACTAAAAATTCTCTTTCTTCATCATCAATCAAAACCCCCCACAAAAATTGTACCTCCTTTCAAAGGAAAGGTACATTGGTTCCGAAGTCTGGGAGGGAGCTTCAATCCATTGAAGACTATGAAAGAGACCTATTTTATAGTTTAACTTTTTTTTTCCAAAGGGTATGATTTAGTGCATGCACAATTCCAAAGTATATTGGAGATGGATTGAGGATCTAATAACTTCGAAAGTCTATCATCTTTTGACGAATTTTAGGAAAAAATAATGGAAACAAAAAGAACTTTGAGTATTGAAAAGGTTCATTTTCTATATATACTTTTTTGGATTGCTTGTTTCCTTCAAACATCTTCTCACCTGAGGCTTTTTTGAGCCCCAAGTTCATAATTTGAAGCCAAAATGGATTTGTAGTGCGTTAGGGCATGTTCTAAAACCCTTGAAAACCAGGATGATGCATGAGTAGATTCACCAATATTTCATTTGAATAGTTTTGCCATTTCTGAGAATTTGTTTGTTCAATAAAGTTTATTTTTCAATAGGGGAATTTTCATAAGGGTGCAGTTTCTATAGAGCCTAGGCTCTAAACAATCAAATTAGAGTCTACCTTGAAATAGTGCCAGAGAAATGTGGTTTCACTATTAGAAATATTTGAGATAGCTTTAAAATATATTTTCATATTTATTTATAAAGTTTAAAATAGTATTCGAAAAACCGGTCGGTTGGAACCGTAACCAGCCAGTTAGCTCCCTATCGGTGAGGTGGCGATTCCGGATAGGTCCGGTTTTAGTGTACTAGCAAAACAAACACATTGTCTTGAAAAAAATCGACTAAAAAACCGGCCAGTTTGGCCTCGAATCGGCGACTTTTTGACAAAACCGGTCCGGTTTGGCGTTATATCGGGTGATATAACAAATAACGGCGCCACATAAAATAACGACTGTTATTTGTAACAGTGCCCGTTATTTGGGCAGAACCCGTGATCTGCCATTTTTTGCAGCTTTTTTATGCCTTTTCTTGCCTTTTTTTTGTTTTTTTGGCTCAATTATTATACTATACCTTCAAATCTTCTATAAATACATCAATATTGAATCAAAAACTCCAAGATTAGATCAATTTTGGTGAATTTTTGGTGCATTTTTTTTTGTGTTCTTCAGTTTTTTATGAAAAATCCGCCATTCATTTGATTTTGGCCAGGTTTTTCAATTTTTTTCGATAAAAAGTTTGGGATTTTAATGATCACAGAGATACATATATTTCAAGACTCTTGATTTCATTGAAATGGAGAGATTTGGGGCTCGATTTTGAGATTGACGCAGACAAGGTAAGCCCAAACCTAATTTTTTTTCTTAATTTTGCAGCTTTTTTAGGCTTTTGCAGACAATATTTGACTAGTATTATTTATTGCAATAAATAAAAGAACAATTTTTTAAATAAATAAAAGAGCGATTTTTTAAGAACAACAAAAAAAATTTGGAGCTCGATTTTAGGAATTTAGGGTTTTTTGGAGCTCGATTTCAGGAATTGAGGGTTTTTTTTGTTTTTAATGTTATATAATATTTATATTTATAAAAATATGTTTTTTGTGATGAATATGTGAATATATATACACAATATTTGTGTGAGATTATTGATTGCATAAAATAAATGAACGAATTCTAGAACAAAAACAAAAATTTGTAGGTCAATTTTGGGGATTTTAGGGATTTTCGGGATTTTAGGGTTTATTGAATGAAAAATAAAATTGATATTTTTTTTGTGATGATTGTTTTTAATGTTATATAATATATATATTTATAAAAATATGTTTTTTGTGATGAATATGAGAATAAATATAAGCAATATTTGTGTGAGATTATTGATTGCATAAAATAAATGAACGAATTGTAGAACAAAACATAAACTTTGGAGGTCGATTTTGGGGATTTTCAAGATTTTAGGGTTTATTGAATAAAAAATAAAATTGATATTTATTTTGTGAGGATTTTTTTTAATTGTTATATATATATATATATATATATAATATAGTAGGATCGGATAAAACTAAACATGGTAGTTCTTTTGATTTGCTTTTTGGAAGTCGAATAGCATTCGTATGTTGATCCGTCCATTTAGGCGGATTCTTTTTTAATCGATCAAATAAGGGTTTGGCAATAGTA